AGAGCCCCAGAACGCCGCCCGAGCCGCTGGGGACCCCGAGTGAGGAGCATGGCCAACCAATACATTGATTTTCAGGCCAGGGGCATTGACCGCCACCAAGAGCCAGCGGGGGTCGGCGTCAATCACACGAAAGCGTTGCTTACTGAAGAACAACGGCTGGCCCTTGGCCTCTCCATATGCAACACGCGTGCTAATCCAAAGTTCGCATCCAAACTCGTGGTTCAACGATCCCGACGGTATTACATGATATGCTCCCGATATGTAAACTCCTTGTGGGTTACGAGCTTCTTGGATGCCTGCCAACACGATGTCTTCTTTGTCGAATTGGGCCTTGATGGCCACGTTCCGAGCGAAGCGCAGTCTACCCTGCGCGCCCCTCCATTTCGTGTTGGCGGCACTCTTAGTGTTAAATGTAGCAACCTTAAACTCCAACTCTTGCATAACTTTGGTCACGCGAAGTTCAGGCCTGTGCCCTAGTCCATTCACTTCGTGTGCTACCTGAGGAGCTCTAAACCCGTCAGCCTCCAGCACAGGATAGGGCCCCACTGTGTTGGCGCTGGCCAAGGTTAGCCACTCCCACTCACGGTCTTTGCTGACATCAGTGGCCTCGACCCACACGGGGGGGAGGAAGCATAGAACCCAAGCGCTGTTGCCAACTAGCCCCGCCAAGTGATCGGCCAAGGTATTCCATGGCTGGCCTTCGTGGCCTTTGACATGTTTGACCAGGAGGGGGTCGGGGTGATCGGGCCACCTCTTAGCTGCCAGAGCGCAAGCCCTATCATGCAATATCTGGGTCATTCTAGCTATTACGTTGGTTTTGGCCACTGCCGACAGTCCGTACAGGCTCTGGGCGACGTCCAGCGAGTCCGCGTGGATGGTGGACGGCTCGTGGCACTCATTGGCGATGATGGCATGGAGGGCCCGCGACACGCCCGCGTACTCTATGTCCGTGCTAGCGAGCCCAGAGCGAGCTCCAGGCGTGCGAAAACTATCGAGGAAAGCAGCTGCCCAAACCCCCAGGAAGGCGCATCCTTCAGAATCACTTCCCACGCGGACCACAGCCCAGGCTCCCGTGGAGTCGCCCCCAAACCGGATGGACCCATCAGTGAAGTACGAAACCTCATCCCAGACAGCCCTCCCAGTAGGACACACTTTGATGGCCCAAGAGGCCTCAGTAGGAATATCACCTGGCAGGTCCAGGACCCAATGCATCGGCTGAGCACGGCCAAGCATCTCCAGCACTGTTGGTTTCTTCTCGAACGGGCACCAACGATCAGAGGGGGGAGGGAACGGAGGTGGTGGCTGACGCTGCTCCGTCCGTGATTGAGTCTGCGCAAGCAGATGAGGTATTAGGAGGATGCCCCCCCCCCCCCCCCCCCCCCCTCACTTCCCTGGGGGGGGGGGGGCAGCAACCGTACTGCCTCATCCTCGTAAACAGCAAGCGGTGCAAAAGGGTTGCTCGCAAGGCGAGCTCTCTCAAGACGTGTGGCACGTGACTCCCCCTCCTCCTCGTCAAAACTCACCCCTCCCTCCCTATCGCAGGGGGCGCGTCGACTCCTATGGGTCCCCACTGGAGGACTGCAGCACCCCTGGGACAAGAACGCTCTTTGGGTGCCATCTACCTCAGAAGCAGGTGTAGAACGAACATTGCACTTAAAACCATTGGTCTCTGGGAAACGCATGCACGACTTCAGGTTTGCAGAAGATGGGGGGGGGGGAAGCCTCTCTCTGTGGCCCCGCCACGGGGAAAGGGGATGAATTAACCTGGTCGTGCAGCCCCCAAACGAAACTCTGCTTAAAGCTCGTCTTCCAGCCTCGCTGCCTTCTGAGGAGGGCTGCGAAGGTCCTCCTCCTTCAGGCCCTCGAGTTCCATCATCCCCACTGGTGGGGGTATGAGGGGGCCCTCTTGGGACATGGCTGCCGTTGGCTGGGTAGGTCTCAAGAAGGGGCACTCATATCCTGGGGCCCTGGAATTTCTTCTATTGCCTGCGACCCGTATCCATCCACGGCCATCTCCGTCGGCGTGAGCGGGCTGGAGTGGATCACCGCGGCCTTCGGGTGCATGGTCTGCTCCGTCGGGATGGGCGAGTAGCTCCTGGTCGCCACTGGCGCGCTGGTGCCTCCTATTGGTGTCCTCGGCGCTGTCGGTGGACATGGCGACGCTGCCGATGTGGAGGGAGTCGCCGTCTCGGGCGCTGTTGATGCCGCCGGTGGTATAACTCCATTTGCTGCACTCCCTGGTACATGAAACCCCACCGCCGCTGTCTTGGGCTGGAGGTGGCCTACGATGATATTCATCTGCGCCTCCGTGGCCTGCTGCCTCTCGATCATGAAATTGATCAATCTCTCCATCTGGTCAACCTTCTGGTTTGTCTGCGGTGGTGGTGGCGGCGGCTGAGGTGGAAAGGGTGCTGGTTCACCTGCTGCTTGTCCCATCATCTGTGCTGTCTTGGATTTGTCAATGCATGCGTTCACGTTTGGCCATGCACTCGGTGGCGGTGGCACCATGCCAGGCATCTGCCTGGGTCCATACATGTTCTCCGCCGTGTCTGGGTGCGCTCCTGCCGCATGCGTACGTGGCTCTTCATCCATCTCACTGCCGACCTGATAGTCCTCCAGGTCTTCTAGCTCCTCGATGGATTTTCCCACAGAACTAAATCACGCTCAGCTTCACTCCTCTGATCTCCAATCTCGTTCATCTTCGTCGTCAAGGTCTTGATGCGATTGATACACGTGTCTCGCTTTTGCTTGAGCTCAGCCAAGTGGTCGGCGAGTCGGACTGTGGTACCCATCATGTACTTGAGGCACGATACTTCTTTCATGAGCATAGTGTCATCCTTGCCCGCTTTCCTCGCGACGATGACGAGACGGGCGATGTCGTATAGCCTCCATTTGGTACGTTCCTTGTACTCTTTGATGGCCTGCGTGTCCAAGGGGGCCACGTCGTAGCCACATTCACGCATGTACCACTGGGCGTCCGATGTGCTCATGGGGATGACACGCCCTATAAACTGTTTGATCTCCTGTTCCTCCCTCTTGATGTCCTTCCGGGCTCCTCGGGAACGGCTGGGCTGTCGGGGCCTTCCTGCGTCACGTGGGGGCCTCTGATCACGAGGACGGCTTGGCTGACGAACTCTCTCGATCCTGTTGTCGAAGTGGCTGCCGCACAAGCACCTCCAGTGATGTGTCTTCACATAGCGGCCGCAGCCGCAGTTCCACTGTTGTTGGAGGCCGCCCGCTTTGTTGTGTCCTGGGCGAGAACCGAACATCTTGAATGAGGGGGAGCTGTGGTGGGTCCTAAGAAGGGTTTGGGCCTTGTACAACGAAAGGAGGAGTCGGGCCTGGAGGCGCTTGGCGCGCTCGCGCCTGTGCCACGCCGGCTCCTTCGTGATGCGTACGGTATGAAGCGTGGCCAGCCTGTCTGGCGGCACACCTGGGGTCAGGCCTTCTCCTGGGCCAGACGCCTTTCATCCTCCTCCTCCTCCTCCTCCTCCTCCTCCTCCTCCTACTACACCTCCTCCTCCTCCTCCTCCTCCTCCTCCTTCTACTCCACCTCCTCCTCCTCCTCCTCCCCCTCCTCTTTTTCCTCCTCCTCCTCTCCTCGTCCTCCTCCTCCTCCTCCTCGTCCTCCTCCTCCTCCCCCTCCTCCTCCTCCTCCTCCGCCCTCCTCCTTCCCCTCCTCCTTCTCCTCCTCCTCCTCCCCTCCTCCTCCTCCTCCTCCTCCCTCCTCCTCCTCCTCCTCCTCCTCCTCCTCCTCCTCCTCCTCCTCCTCCTCCCTCTCCTCCCCTCCCCCCGCCTCCTCCTCCTCCTTCTCCTCCTCCTCCTCGTCCACCTCCTCCTCCTCCTCCTCGTCCTCCTCGTCCTCCTCGTCCTCATCGTCCTCCTCCTCCTCCTCCTCTCCTCCTCCTCCTCCTCCTCCTCCTCCTCCTCCTCCTCCTCCTCCTCCTCTCCTCTCCTCCTCTCCTACTCCTACTCTTACTCCTATCCTTATTCCTTATTAGAATATACTCCTACTCCCCCCTCAGGCCGGCAGATAGGGGCCGCATCCGGGTGGTCCCATCCTAACCTGTAAAAAACAATACAAAATCAACATTTTTCTTATTTTTTCCTCTCGACATGGACGTCCTGTCGTCCACGGCGATAATCCATTGCAAAAAATACCACAAAGAGCACACGCGCGCGTTCATGTCAGAATCCTACCGAACACCGTGTGTTTGCAAGCATTTCAACATAAAAACATCAAAAACCCAATGTTTTTTTTCACAAAAATTGTACAAATTTCCCGCCCGGGCTCTCTTGCTGAAATCATAGGAAAACCATAGGAATCTTAAGAATTCGGTCAAATCCAGCGATTTCACGTCATCGCGCGGTGCACTCGCGATGCTCTGTCATGCACCCAGGCCGCGAATCCTGTGCAAAAAATACCACAAAGAGCACACTCGCGCGTTCATGTCAGAATCCTACCGAACACCGTGTGTTTGCAAGCATTTCAACATAAAAACATCAAAAACCCAATGCTTTTTCACAAAAATGCTTTGGGGTGTCCTGTCAGACCGTCGGGCTTCCTCCGGCCACCTCTGGCTTCCTGCGGTGTACCGGGCCATTCTCGACTCGTCTGGCAATGCGTGCGCGGCATTCAACACGCGCTCGCCAGTTCCCGTCGGCAACCGCCATCGCGGCCGCATCAGCTGTACCAAACCGGCTGGCCGGTGTGACTTCGGCCCCCAGTTGTGCCAGCTTTGCTTCTTATGTTGTGGGAGGGCGGGTGGGACTGGGCATGCCATGCTTGACTCGCTCGAGCTGGCTAGCTTGACTCCTA